GAACATGTGAGGATCGGTCTGTATCCATGCATGCACAGCTTCGCTCACTCAGCGAACTCATCATTCGTTTCTCATCAGAGCCCTCAATGCTAATTTTGGTACATTGCTTTAACTGGTGGCTCGATGCAACTTCGAATCAATCAGAGATCAGCGAGAGGTACGGCGCTGAAGCTTTCTTCAAGGCATGAGACGCGCCTCGCTGTCTTCGCTTTGCCTTCGCCACATGCCTCTCTGCGATTCGCAGGTAGAGGGAGGAGTGTAGGGCTCGACGCGCACTGTTTGCAGCGGTATTTGCTGATGATCTTCGGTAAGCTCGCGTCGAAAGCCCATAGATGGAGATCTGACCAGCACTTCGGATTGGATCCGAGGACTGACTGCCTGCTCTGGAGCCTGGATCGGGTTGGGCTTGGCGGAGCTAGTCTGAAAGTTCCAGTCGGCATCTGACCACTGCGAGGGCGATCTGCGACTCATGCGGATGGGCTTTGCCCCTTCTTTTGCTGGCTCCAGACCGAGCGCGCTTCTATCGAGGAGTTTCAGCCTGCGCAGAATTCGAGGAGCGATGGTCACCGAGACGAGAAATTGGCTGGATCGAGAAGGCAGGCGCCAGAAGGTGTGAGCATAAAGGGGACACAGATAGAGCCGATGCGCAGTGACGCTGCTACTCACAGCCCGGCAAATACGCTTGTAGATCGATTCTGTGAGTGGAAGCTGGCCCATACCAAGCCGCCAGTATAGCTGATGATACTGAGAATGTAAAAGAAGATTGCGCTGTTGTAGAGCTGTCTGGAGAGTGGCGAGGCGGAACGTCTGGTCTGACGAAAGGCGTTGGGGGAGAAGCCCTGAATTTGCGAAGTGTGAATGACTTTGGCCACGGTGAGGATGAGTATCATGGAGTCGTACATTAGCGCTGTGCCATTGGGTAATCGAAAGACGAGCTGGGGCGGATTGGTGGCCGAGTAGCATCCATGCGATGTGCCATCATCGTCGCGCAGCTTCTCCATGTGGAATACCTGTGGCCACCACAGATTGGCACCGGCAATGGCAGCCACGCCGAGCCAGAGGACGACTGAGACGGCTCGACTTTGTGTCCAAATTGCCTGCGCCCATCAGGAACGAGCGGGAATAAATTCAACGCGTCGTATAGTCGCACATCTGAAAGCGTGGCAACTCACAATCGTCCTGACTGCAAAGATGGCGGCGCAGTTGATGTGTGCA